ATAAAGACATTAAATAAGACTGGCCCCAAACACCTGCCTGTGTTTTTCTGCCTGTAGCAGTCTGGTCTTGTGAGTATAAAAAACTGGGTGTGTTATTAACTGTTCAGCATCACACAGCTGTTGAAATGCATCTGCGCAGCTTTCCCAAGCGAGGCGCAAGGTTCACTTCAGCAGACCTCCCCGGGAGCTGCTTCAGGGCTCCTGCTTCCCAAGTGAGGAAGGGGAGCTGGAAAGCTGTTGCTCTGTCAACGAGGAGTCTGGAAGAGGCTCAGTGGGGCTCCTTCAGCTCTCCCCGTTCGGTCCTTTCTCGAGCGTGGTCCTCGCCTTCCTCTGTGGCTGCCCGGTTCTGTCGTGCCCTGCGTGCCCCGAGTGCTGTCTCGGCACACACGCGTGTCTCGGCGTGACTGAATGTGCCTTCTGAAACCTGGGGTTGGTGGCTTTGTTGGCGCAGCGAGCGGTGCAGCTGCAGGATGATGGATTCAGGCCAAGCTTTGAAGGTACAGGTGTCCCCCCTTTTTAAATCCAACCTGCTGGTGAGCGGTGTCACTGTTTCTGCAAAGAGCAGATGTAAGACTGAGCAACTCAGAATGGGGGGAATGAACACCTCCAGGAGAGGTTGGTCCTTCTGTGGCCCCTGTTACCCAACGATTTCAGGTATAGGTAATCACACTCCCTCCCTTTGCCTTTAAAATCATAGAATCCTAGGGTGGTTTGGGCTGGAAGGAGCCTAAAGATTGTCTAATTCCAATCCCCCAGCCCTGGGCAAGGACACCTCTCGCCAGACCAGGTTGCTCCAAGCCCCATCCAACCTGGCCGTAAACACAAAATGAATTATGTCCTCTTGAATTTTGGGGAAAACGTGTAAAGTCCCACCAATTTCACAGGAATGGAAGAAAAATTTGACCTCTGGTGCTCATCTGCGTGAATTAGGGACTCTTAATTTGTTTTCTGCCTACAGATAACGTATGAATCTTTTCTTTCTGTTGCAGAAGGAGCCTGCTAAATCACCTGTACCTCTTCGACTGTCGAGGTGTGGATCATGGGAGAGCAACTGTTAAACAGCAGCATCCTTGATCGATTTATTAATAGCCATGAGCAGTCGTATGAAGAGTTTCTAAATACATTCACTTATCTTTTGAAAGGTACGTGGCTTCCCAAATCTCCCATTAGAAACCGCAGCCAGAAGGGAAGGGGAAAAGAGAAGCAGGAGTGTTTAAGTGCCATTCTTTGTGATCTCAGGCAAACCCTTGTGATGCTTTCGTTGCTCCTTTTAGCAGTGGGGTTCCTGAGGGCAGCTTGGCTTAGCTTGGCTGACATGCTGCTGAGGTCTCTGCAGGTTGGGAGGGTGGGGTATCGTGTGTTATTTGGAAGGATAGGCTCTTCCTAACTACGTCCTGCATTGTTTTGCTATTTCATAAAAGAGGAAGAGATGAAGGAAAGTAGTTAATGGTGTGCGATTTGGGTACTTTCATGGGTTTACTAATACTAGTTTGCTCTGCTGCGCTGTTGTGTGTGCCAAGCTAGCCAATAATTGGGATGAAGGCACATCAGGACATCAGGTGAGGATAACTAGACTGAAAAGGTGTCGTGCTCTGCAGATGAAATAAAAGATGGGGCTTAACCTTGATCTGAGCGTTACCGGATCCAAATTCCGTAGCTCAGGTTCATTTCTTTTGGCCACGTTGAGTCGGGTGCCGTAAAAATAAATGTGAGCTGCTTATTACTTACGATTCCTTTTACCACTGCTTTGCCCTAGAAGCGATGTCCTGATATTGTTGCAGAAGCAGCGTATTTTTCGATCACAGCATGTGACGTGCTCCATTGATTGGCACTCAGAAGTCTGTCCTGTCCTTGTCCTTCAGGCAGAACTAAGTGTCAGTCACAGGCACTAAGTAAAAAACCAGTGGCGGAGTCCAGACTGCAATAGAAATAATCTTGTGGCAACCTTCTGTCTCTCCTCCCAATGAAAAATAGAAGAGAAAGGAGACACTGGGGGATAAGATAAAGGGATTGAAAATTAGGTTCTGGTCTTCTTTATGTATGATTGATACACTGGGGATAGCTCCTATCTTAGAAGCACGCTGCAGATCCTGATGCTACTTGCAAAAAGCCTCAGCGTGTATTTCAGTCACTTTCATTGTCACTGAGCATCTGCCGCTGAACCTGTATAAAAGGTGGAATCAAATGCTTAGGAGTGCAGTTTCCTGTGCTGGTATAAACAAAACAACTCAGCTTGTTCTCCTCCCACCTTCATTTTCTTTTATAAATACCCAAAGGTGCAGGTTTGCGTTGTAAACTAATGACCCGCAGAAATTCCACTTTAAGCACAAGGCATTTTAGCATCAGAACAGTGCAAAATGCTTTATAAAATATCTTGTTCTTACTTTCTGAATTTTGCATTTAAAAAAATAGTAATTTGACTTTTTTTTTTTTTTAAAAACAACTGTGATAACTTGATGAGCCTATTTGCTAATCGGCTCCAGAAATTTTCACTCTTCTGTGTGTTCAGATATTTACTGTGGGGATGTATTTGTGGTTCCTGTCCAGCAAACTCTGTGACTATCTCCAGATGACCCTTCTGAATTTGGCTTGATAATAGTGTTGATCCTCAGACCGATTCTTGGTGCAGTGAGCAGTAATGTCAGAATTTGCAGTCCTGCTTAATTAGGTATGGAGATAGACATTGGTATACACAAATAACCAAGGCCATTCGGTTGGGTGTGTAAAAATATCCTTGAAAAGATAGTCTCTTAGCTCAAATAGAACAAGATTTAGAGCCGTAATAAGGTCCTTCTTATTTATGTGTAATTCATTTCATGGTATGTGTATGGTTTAAATAGCACACAGCTTTGTTATAACTTAGTTGGACTGTTAAATTATATCTGCGATGTAGGAATTTAATCTCCCTGATTTTAGTATTCTTAAAAAACCCCAGTGATTCTGTTTTTTTTTTTTTTAAAGTGTGCTTGGTGCTGCGACAAATTGAGAGTTCCTAGACTATTTGACAATTAAATCCTTTAGTAACGCTTTTACCTCACTTCTGCCCCATCTGACGGGACACGGATAAACATACTTAAATATAATTTTAAAACTCTGAGCTCACCATTTAAAACATATATACTCCAACAGAACATGGCCTATATATCTTAAATGCATAATATTTAAAAAGTATAGATGCCCTCCCTCCATAATTGGAATTTTTTTTAACTTTTCTTATTGATTCTGTAACGGATGGACACCAGATGGCAAGGTTAAGATTCTAGTAAGGCTCTTAGTTTTCCTGCTTACAGGAAACTGTATTATTTTATCCTATTATCCTTTGTCAGAAGGATAATATTAACAAGATGTATAGGTAAGTGAAAGGGCTGGTGATGCCATGGGGATATAGTTCAGTAATTAGAGCACAGGTCTAGGGAAGAGGACATTTTTCATGCTCGCTGTAAAAGCTTTGCCAAAATGACAACACTGAAAACAATGACCACCTCTTCTGCAAATCCAGAGTAAGAGGAATCCTCTTATTAGCAGTTTATTTTAATACATTAATTTGTGCTGCTCTTAGAAACGCTGAACCCCCTTATGCGTATGCCGAGTTACATGTTCGGTTTTGTTAGTTTGTTCTTTTAAAGTAGGGAAATAATCTGACAATAAAACAACTAACTGGCATTTGCTTTGAGGTTGTAAAAGTCCAAAATGTGTTTTAAGTCCAGAGAAAAATCTTAAGAGCTGTTCCTTGACTGTGCAGTTGAAGAAGCCTCAGAAGACTTGGATTTACCAAGGGATCGATGACCCAGATTTCTGTAGGTGTGGTCCATGAGTGGTCTCTTAAGAACTAAACATTTCCTAGAACAGCTTGAGACAAAATCGCTTGGAAATAGACCCAATCCTCACTTTAAAAAAAAAAAAAAAAAGCCACACAGGGCATGAGGCTCTTTCAAATCTTGGGAAGAGTGTTTGAAATCTGGTGGAGACAACTATGATGTTCAGAATTAGAAGGCAGCATCTGCTCGTTTTTCTGAACTCGGGGGAAGACTGGGGAATTCACTGGAGCATAAAATACCTCCTTTGATTTTCTACAAAAAATAAAGGAAAAAACATGGCCCAAGCTTCAAAGTTTTCATCTAGATTTTAAATAACTCCTCTCCCCCTTCTATAAATATGGAATCCAGGATCAGTCAGGTGTGTAGAAAAATGCTGCTGTGAATGAAATTCTTATCCAAACCCAAGTTTCGATTCCTACTTTTTACCACGGTCCTGGCCATTTGACCACTGAGATGGCATTCCATCCCTTCCTGCTGTTCATTTTGCTCTTTCCCATACTCCTCACACCGCCTGGCCGTGCGTTGAAACCCGAGGACTTTGACCAGACCTGTTTCTAAGCAGATTTCACCTCGGATATCTCTGCTTCGTAGCCTCGGCGCTCTTGTTTTGACGCTTCTGTGGAGCGGAGGAGGGCGGACGGCGGCCGACCACTTCTCTGCTTCCAGGTGGCACGTGAGAGCGGTGGTCTGTGTGGTGACAAGATTCACTGAATTCCCCGGGGAGAGCCGGGCGATGTGTTTAGTTCACAGTCCATTTGGTGGGAGCTGTCTGCTGCTTTTTTTCTCGTTAACCGCCTCGAGGAGAAACAACAACTTCAGGCTTCCTATCTAAGTGTCAACGGAGGCGCTTTACAAATGTGAGTCTTAACAGCAGAAAGCAGAGCAGAAAACGATATAAGAAATGACAGTAAAGTCACTTTAATTTTAAAAATGGACCAGTAGGACAATGCTAACCCCAAGAGAAATTCGCAGCCTTCTCCCTGTGAGTGGATTTGCCAATAAAAGCAACTAGACAGTTCAATAAAACTAATTAAATTAATCTGTCATCCCCAGGGAACTTAAACAGGGCATGAAATAGGGAAACAGCGTCAATTCAGAGCTTTTTATTGATGTGTTGTGCTGGATCATTGGAAAGAATCGGTTGGGAGAAAAGATTTGCAATTTTCTGTTGATCATAAATTCAGGAGCTATCTCTGTGTAAGCTTCATTCAATATAGTATAAAATCAAATCTCGTACAGAGCCCCTAAATGGAGAAAGCCCCAGACATGGGGATGCAAATGCAACAGATTATTTTTGAAATAATAACAGCTGATGTGTTTTATGGAAAATTTGTTGCCCTTAGACCTCAGCGGTATTTGCTATGCAAAGTACTTCATCTCCATGGTGGAGACAGAAGAAAATTCGGCGTAAAGAAGGGGAACGACTCGTGTTGGTTTGCACAGCAGCTCACTGGCGGCACCAGATAAGGGCAGAGGCACTCAGACTCCTGAAAACTTTGGCAGCCGTTGAACAATTCTTCTTTTTTTGCGACACCTTTGTTACTAAACCATTTCTAAAGATTGTTTCAGATAGGAAAAGAATGTATTTTCATTCTGTGGCATTTGCTAGAATGCAGAAAAGGGAAATATGTAGTAGTTTTGCTGCTGACGCTTTGATACCGATTCCATCCTGTGGAGCGGGTGGGTTCTGTAGCGCTAGAAAAAGCAGGAACACAGGATGAACTTTTGCTCTAGCTCATCACCTTGCCTTGAAGGGCACTGAAGTGTGCCAAACGCAGCTCTGGCCCGAGTTTTGTGTCATTGCAGTGAGGTGCGGAAGCCGCTTTTCCAGATGTGGAAATGACACAGAGCAAATGATGTCAGAGATCAGAGCAGGTCCATAAAACCAGAAATCGAGTGACCGCACTTCCAGTCCAGTGCTGAGCTCTTTATGGAATTGAGTGCTTTTCTGTGGCCAGTATAAAACCACACAGAACACGAACAGTGTAGCTATTTACCTTTTTAAAAAAAATTAGGCCCCTTGAAGGTGCCTTGATGTCTCAAACCAGGACAATTCTAATGTGCAAAATGAAGCATGTTTAAAAACTCTTGGGCTCTGTGACATGTATAAAACTGCACAGAACACGAACAATGTAGCTATTTACCTTTTAAAAAAAATATTAGGCCTTTTGAAGGTGTCTTAATGTCTCAAACCAGGACAATTCTAATGTGCAAAATGAAGCATGTTTAAAAACTCTTGGGCTCTGTGACATTTTATTAATTTTTTCCCACCCGCTGTCATCTTTTTATGATACTATTTGTTATGAATCTATGGAGATATCAGA